TTTGTTTGCTATCTCTTGTCATCCTTGGAAAAGTCATCCCATAAGTTATCTGCTGCATTTGTTTTTATACTAGAATGACGTATAAGACTCTTCTCTACTCCTCTTCTGTAGCCCACTGATGCAGCCCTTCACTCCATTCTTTGTAGATGCTTGCTTCACAAGATTACCTTCCTTGAGTATTGTTTGATCTGATCATTTCTCGTCCCAAAAGCCTAGAATCACTTCCACTTTCTTCTTGGGTCAAAGTAAAATTATTGATTTAAACTTGAGTCCTTTAATGGTACTTGACTTATTGAGTTCCCATAACTATTTCCTGATCCACCACTCAACCACAATTTGTACTTTATGCTTGGGCCAAGGAAATTTATTTTTCCTTCCCCTTGACACCCTTCATTATCTTTCACTGAATCACCACATATGCTATTCTCCTCATTTGACCCATTGTAACTCAATTAGGTCTCTTAAATTTTCAGGTCTTGCTAAAGTAGAGTCATCCTGAAATAGTTATAACCCTTAGCCACTGTGTTAACTGAAAGAACACGAACAAGTCATTTAATTTCTCCAAGGCTCAGTTCCTTCATCTGTAGAAAGGGAATATTATCCGTCTCTTCGGGTTTTGTAAGGATTAAGTAAGATAATATATTTATAAAATATATCTGTATTTTCTAACTATAATAAAACACCTACTACCACTGACCCAGTCACATAGTAGGTCCTGTTAAATACTTCATTTTCATTTCTATCATTTATTTTTCATAATGTTCTTGAGCACCTAATTCTTATCTATATTTCTAGGGGTGAATATAATATAGCCCAGGGTTGGCTAGTTCTCTCTCCTATTATGTTGTAAATTATAAGAGATTTGGATTCTTTTGTTTCCTTTCTCTATTGTTTCAAAAGTTCATCACATAACAGACATTTCAACATATTGTTTCCCCTTCTGTTGAGTGACTAAGCCTTATCTCTTATTCCTTGTAAGTGATTATTAGTATCCCTTAAGATGTTTCGTTGGGGTTATACCTGTTTGGTATAGTAGGGTTCATGAGCATAATTCTACTTTTGAAATAGCTAAACTAATATTTCATTAATTACAGTACGTACCTATCCTCTACCTACAGTAATTTCTAACGGTTAACTTTGTTATCTCTGAACTTTCTTCTATCATCAGGATCTAATTCTGTCTGTAATATTTGTAAATATTTATGGGTTTTGCAGAATTGCCGAGATCAGTACCATCATCTGCCCTCTTGTGCTTAGTAATATCATTCATCTAGTACTTTGCTTCTTTGAGTCGAAAACAAGTTTTTTCACATTTTACCACTTATGTAAATAAAATGTCTTGTAATTGATGGTATTTTTAAACACTTTTTCTTTCTTAGTAGCATGTAAAATGGTAATATTTTTATAGACAGTTGTGTTTTAGGATTGGTGAAATTTGGTAGTACTCAGTAAAGGCTTGATATCATGAACTGAAGTCATACTTGGCATTTCTGTGCCTGTTAGCTACTGAAGTATATGGTACTCTTGTAACTTAAGAAACCAGGTCATTCTCAATTTGGTTAATCTCCTCTTAAAAGGATACAGATTTTCAAAAATTTTGGCCATCTCTAAGATATGCCATTCTTTTGACTTTTTCTTACCTTTCTCCATTTGTCATATCAGCAAGGTCGTTTTCACCTTTGTCAGTGTTTTCATAGCCGCATGGATACAGACAGGAATTTTCTGAGAATTTTGTTTTTGAGTTAGTGTTAGGCTATGGAGTTTGCTCAGTCGTGGGTGTGATGAGGCTCACTAGTGAACTGATGCCTCCTAGAGGAACATTTTACCTGTCCTTTCTGGGACCTAGTTCCAGTTGCAGTTGTATCTCAAGAAGCTAGTGATTTCTGTAGAATCATTTGGCCTCTTTAAAATCAAATGAATGTATACAGTGAAATACTACTCAGTCATAAAAAGAATGAAATAATGCCATTTGCAGCAGCATGGATGGACCTCGAGATTGTCATTCTAAGTGAAGTAAGCCAGGAAGAGAAAGAAAAATACTATATGATATCACTTACATGTGGAATCTAAAAAAAGAAGGACACTATGAACTCATCTACAAAACAGAAACAGATTTGCAGACATAGTAAACAATCTTATGGTTACTGGGGAAAG